TTTCCCCATTTTGTGCACATTCATACAATTACATATTACTAAAATTAAAGATTACAGAATTGAGAATGTGATCCACAGGAACTAGTTTACATAGAAACTATTTTTTTAATTCATCTGATTACAGATTAATTTTATGTATTTTTAAAGCTAAGACTATCCTATTGCACGCCATTTACCTTTTTTTCTTGAGATTAAAAATTTGGTATTAAAAAATTCAAATATTCTTACTTTCAACAAAATAGAAATAGTAGTACTTCTGTTCATTATGATGTCTGATATAAAGGCAAGCATGTAAAGGAACAACCTGCAACTACTTCTTTTATTCAAAAATTCAAAAATCACTGAATGAGATCTATATTCAACCTAACTTAAAGTGGTCCTATTCTAAATAAATCTGCAACAAACCAATTAACACTAGTGAAACTCTTTCATTCTTACATCTGAACCAGGCCATACTGATTAATCCAAACCAAAGAAGGAAACCAGAGGGTCCAAGGCATGTGCACCTAAAAATTGACAATGATGAGTCAATACTACCTTTCCAGGCAGAAACTCAGTCAGCCATGATGAAGAAAGTGTAAACTTTCTCAATCTTTCTTTCCCTTTTTTCCTTTTCAGCTACCAGGGCTGCATTTTTCTTTTAGAGGTGACAGTGGTCATAACCTCTGGCAAAACTACTGTCTTGCAATCTATTTAAATAAAACAAATCATTTTAAATCTTGAGATATCTCTTAAATTAGCTATACAATTTAACTACAACACAACCATTAAGAGTTTGAACTGAGGGAGTTCAAGGAGGAGTGAATGATTCAAACTTTATGGTACCAACTCTATGGTATGCTTAAGCAAGTCATTCTCCTTATTCTCAGCCCTCCATGTGCAATACTGGAAGGGTTTCCAAAATCTGCCAATTATTTAATCAGGAAAAAATTATAATAACTTTTGCAGTACAAATTCAAAGCATTACAAAAGGCAAGCACCATCTTACACTGCAAATAAAACACATGGTTCTTCTCTGTTTGAAAGAGAAAAGCTCAGAGCATGGATAAAGTCTTCATGTTGAGAATGAAACTTGGTGAATATATATAATGCCTTCTTTGGAAAAATACAAATTGATTTTTGTCACTGCCTTCTTCCAGGATATTTTTGTTGTTGCTGATGATGTTTTTTTAAAAATTCCCAATGCAACCTACAATCCTGAAATTTCCAGTTGGTCTCTGATCCAAGTACTAACTCTGTCTGATTCTGCTTAGCTATTTGAGATCAGCCAAACTTAGCTAGATACCATTATCTGGCTGAACAGAACACATGGATGGTTCATTTAAAAGCAATGGAAGCATGTCTCTCTTTTTTTCAGACCTGTTTGCCTCACTTACACACACATTTACATACTCACTTGACTTTGCCATTTAATCTGTACACATTTACTCAAAAACATGTCTTGCTCTTTTCAAGTGAACTTATTTCCAGGTAACTACGTACAGCAGTTTTTCCCACCTAGAGCTTCCATTTTTGTCACAAATACAACTACCAAAATTCTTAGCTAGTATGGTTCGATGGCCACAGTGACTAACAATTCTGTAAACTGAAGTCCCAATGCATTTGCAGAGCACCAGCTGGGGTATATAGGATTGTCCTAAATAAGTCAGTCCCATGAAATTAAATGGCATTTGCTTTAAAGTAGGTTTTTATAAAACTACACTGCAAGATCAGTTAAAATATACATAATTGGCTAATTATTATATTTAATAGCTAGGATTACATTTTATTAATTTTATGAACTCTAGGATTGATTGGATTTCTTTTTTCTTTTCAACTCCAAGCTCTCCTTGAAAAGAAAATATTTCCCTCATCACTGTCATGGACAGAACATGAGAAACTGGGAGCAATCAGGTCAACAATAATCTATTATTTATCTTTACTATGTATTCAGTTTGGTGCAGAATAAGAGTTAATGCTGATCAATGCAGCTGGTAAGGTGGGATTCACTTTCGCAAGAGTTAATAAGTGGCTGCCTCCACTGAGAAGGGACACACATGTTGGACCAAGCTGACCACTGAACAGCTGTGTATTAGCATGCTTCTATTCCAACCATCAATTGCTGCCTTCCAATCCTCACTATAAAATACTGCTCCCCTCCCAGGAACTTCCTCTACTGTCATTCAATAGCAGCAGCCTCTTACTACCACCTCTCTCACCATATCCTAGTGCCAGCCCATCAATACGTTACCAACAAATAAATAAGCTGACAAAACAAAGAAAGTTTCTTTATAACTTTTTTTGGAAAAAACTGTGTTACGATTCTTGACATGTATTCTGTGTATCAAATTATGGCTTTCATTTTGGTTTATAGATTAAATTAGGAAAGGAAACTATGGCTTTCCAATTTTGAAACAACTGGAGCCTAACAACATTTAGGGAAGCACACATTTCTTATTTTTTATCTGAACATTTAAATCATAACAGATCTGAAAATGTCCAATCATTTTTTTACCTGTGGCAAATAAGAATGATCTCCAGGCAATAAAGGCATGCTTTTATTGGTTACCTATTTTTCTGTTGGTTTAGCAATTCTGAAGAAAGAGTTTACATACAGGCCACAAATATTTTAAAACATTTTGTAGTTCAGTTACTTTTCTGGACTAATTGGGAAGGCTTGTTATCATTTCACTGCTGGATGCTGGGTAAGATTGCAGGGTAATAACTAAAACCTGCCATTGAGACATCCTTATTTTAGATAAAATTGTTTCACATGAACTTAAACAGAAGAACAGCATATGTATTAGTGTTGCCTACTGATTAATGAAATCTAAGAAAATTCACTTTTAAATTTTACTTAATTTTATTAGCACAAATTTTTAAAAGTTAAAAACTCTAGTAAAGAAGCTGTAAGCATATCTACTTGATTTTTAAACAAGAAGCCTATATAATAGCAGACATTTCCTCCTGGGTATGAAAGAAGAATTGCCTGTAACAAAGGGTGTGGTTTCTATCATGCTCCCATTAAAATTAATATCATCTTTTGAATTCTTCTCCTCAATACAATTGGATACTATTTTAGAGAAAATTTAACTGACTGACCCAACTGATCAATCAGGGAAATGTTACTAGCTTATACGAGTACTTCCTGTTCTCATTATTCTTCCTTTTAATCTCTCCAAAAATGTCATAACTTAGCAAACCTACACACACACACATATATGCATGTATGTATGTATAAACTATCTATGCAATTATGCTGTAGCATATTTGTGCAGAGCAGCCATCATTACATATTAAGACCATATTAGAAACCGAATTAAAGACTGTCACAATTTGGAGTCACATGTAAGTATGTCAGAACCTGCATTTAATACTGCATCAAGTCCATTTTGGAAATACAGACACATGCAGACAAACTTGTTTTCTAACTGAAATGTATTTCTCCCCCTTCCTTCCCTAATCTATTTTTGTCAATATATTGCTATGACATTTTTTTCCAGTTCCTTCATGGTAGCCTTTTTTCTTATATAATGAGCAGAATCTTATTTTACATATTTGCAAACTAATAAGCATCCTATTCTCAGCAACAATTGTTTAAGATCTTCCTAATCCCTATATTTATTATATTCTGCCTGGCATTCTTATTCCTCTTCATACTTCATATTATTCCTGAACTTGAAAAATATTCACATATATACTGATTCTATTCTTTTTCATTTTAAACATTTTGCCAAAGATAGGGAATGACAAATTGGCTAAATAAATGCCATTAATAGGAAATGTTTTACTCATTCACTAAAAATTAGGCTTTTTTTTAGGAATATACCTTTTAAATAATATAACCTTAGGCATGCTTTTCTCAGAAATAAGTCTAATTGATTTCAATGGGATCTACACCATGCAAATCTGCACAGGATTGCAGCTAAAGTTGCGTATAGAAACACTGAATTTAGTAGATCATTTTGAATAAAGCAGAATTTCTTAAAATTTATATCGCCACCAATTGTTTAGTGCTGTTTATATCAGTACACAATCTATGCTGTACATAAAAAAACAGCATTATTAAGTTCTACTGAAATCAGTATGGCAACAAATCCCCCATGACCCACTTGTAGACTAATATGATATTTATGTGAATATGGACTTTCCCCATTCAATCAGCATGTTAGTATGAATGATACTGCCAATCAAATGAGAAATGCTCTTCAGTCAGGTAGCTACGATATTAACCTAATATTCAGAGCTCAAAGGGGTGGGGAAAAGGTGCAAAGAAGCAACTTCAATATAAGCTTCACAGCCTTTCATATCATGTATGCATGCATGACCACCTTGCTCTGTCAGTGTCTGAGCAAAGGCTCATAAACATTTTAAGTAGTGTAATGTGAAAAGGCTATTTTTATCTCCCAATCTTTTAATTCTAAATTTTATCCTCTAAATGTTAATCTCTATTTTCTAATTAGATAGCTCTTAGTGTTTGTAAGTTGCCCCCTCCCTTAGACTGAGGCCTAATTTCAGCTATTTTATGGCTCAAGATGTTATGTCCTCAGTGGTTTTTAGCAGTTTTGTACTTCTTCTCTTTTGTATAGTTTTACACTGTTCATTTTAGTGCATTTATTTATTTATTGAATTTATATAGCCGCTCATCTCACTTGCATGTGACTCGGGGAAGCATACACAATTAAAACTAAACAATCAATATAATTTATCCATTAAAACAGTTAAAAACAATTAAAAACTATTTTTAGCACATTCTGCACTGGTCTTCCCCTACTGCAGTTTTAGTCTTATTTTTGTATGTATAGTAGTCTTGGACTGCAACAATAGAAGATTTGAGAATAATAAGCTAGTAGAATATTCAAGGGCCCTAGTAGGCACTGTGGAGTTCAAATGCATTTTTAAAATTGCAGTTTAGGAAATTAACTGCACTAAATCAAACAGTATATTCATGTAGAAGGATTAAATGAAAGATCCAAGTATATATCAAATTCAGAGAAATGAAAATGGATGGTTTTGCTCACCTATGAATGGAATAGATGCCAAGGAATCACCAGGTGGGCTTGAGCTAGAGGCTTTCCTTTCTTCTATTCTTTTTATATGAACTTCTCGGCGTGCATCATTGGGTAACCAACAAGTGGTCTCAGAGGCAGGTTCTTGATCATTTACAGCTAAAATATAGGATTGATGTCGCAAAAGCTGTGGCGTTTGATGGCCAGAAGGAGACTTTTCCCGCAAGACAACTTCCTCCTCATTTGCCACATCCATTGATTTAACCTCAGGCTGTTTTGTATCTTCTGTTTCAAAATCTTGAATCTTTTGTCTGACAGAGACATCTAAATTAACAGAGGTAGTTAAGTGCTCATTCATTTGTGGGACAAATTTGGCAGAAGCTGTACAGGAAACAGGGGAAAGATTAGCCTTGCCCATTTCTAGTTTGTGATCTGGTATATTTTCTGCGTGTATCCTTGATTGTTGAGTTAGCAAACCACTATGGTGCACATGATTAATTTCTCTTTGGTCTTTAGTAGTAGCACTATCCAGACTTTGATTAAGGGGAAATGATGGCTTTGCTGCATAAAGTACAGAGGTCTTCAAAGAACCAGTTCTTGTGCTTCTAGCAGTTGGGTGAGATGATCTTTCCTGAAAAATGGTTGTAGACTTTGAAGCTCCAGTGGCTGGCAAATCTCTGGAGGGCTGCAGCACTTTTACATCTGGTGAAACCTTCTGGAACTGAGAAAAGGGTCCTAAGGCTCGGTTGCTTATTTGTCTGCCATCTGAATGATAAGCACCAGGAGCCATAGAAAAATTTGAACCACGAAGGGACAGGTGAAAGGTATGTTGTCGCGGTCTTTCATAGATGCCTCGCCGATCATCTTGTTCAGTAAATCCAGTACATTTGTAAGTCTTTTTTCTGGCTCTGCTTGAATCTGCAACAAGGTTCTCAGTGTGAACATTTTCTGCTGCTTCACCCTGTTTGCCTAAATAGTCCCAGGAACGTGTCCTATGATTACGGGGGCTGACAACTGGTGAAGTTAGAGTATCTTGTGAAGCACTCCTTGGCCACTCTTTGAGTAATACAGGATCCTCAAGTCTTTCCTGGGATATACTCCTTTGCCTAATCTGTACAGACTGTGAGATCCTATCATGAGAGGTGCTTCTGCGACGTACCTGTGAACCAGTACAATTTGCTAATGCTTGATTATAATCTGTTGTATTTTGAGAGGCTGCTCTTAAACTATCTAACCTTTCCTGTATAGTTCTGCAACCATACATGTGCAAGCGTCTGTTATCAATGTATTCTTTATAGGTTTTGTAATTTTTCCAGTCTATGTGTTGATGGGCACTTGGAGAAGTGTAGTGATTAGTAGCAATAGAGGGAGAACCTAGACTCTGAGCAGGAGATCTACAACTTGAAGCTCCTTCTGGGTGCCCTCCATAGTTTTCAGAATCATTAGCAATTCCTGGGGGATCTATTGGTCTTGTAAGTGGAGTCTGAGGAAGTACAACGGCAGTGGACATTGAAGAGGAAGGTGAAGTGGTTCGTGCTTTTGTTTTTAGAGAGGTTTGTTCCTTGAAACCGTATCTTATATCCTCTGTCCGGTGCGATGGACCAGTGTGATTTGTTCTAACTGATGAGAAATCTACAGCCTTCTCAGAAGGCACAACAACAGTTCTTATAGTCTCATTACAAACACAGACGGCTGTGTTAGATTTTGCAATATCTGTTGGAGATGGAGGCACTTGTATTTCCTTTCTGTAGGCCTTTTCAGGTTGTGCTGATGTCCGTACAGCTCTGCTACTTGGTTGCTTTCCCAGTGATGAGTCAAGAGGTACTTTCTCAATAGGTTGTGCCATGACAGAAGCTGAAGCTGTTAATCGAGGATAACATATTGGTGGAGGTTCAGGTATGTTACGAGCATTACCACTATAGGCTTCATTGCCTTTCAGGTAGGCATCCTGGGAATATGCCTGTGCACAGAAAATTTTAAAAGAAATTAAATCACTATAAGTATTTAGTGGAAAATGATCACCTTATTTCAGGGAGATGAATACAGTAAGTTAAATTCTTTGACGGAAATGGACTTCTTATATAAAAAGAATACAACTAAGGGTTGCTGTTCAGTGAACATGAAACATCAAATTCTTTCTATCATTATTTCCCATGGATGAAAATGTAGCATGGAAAGTCTCCAAAAAGAAGCATGATCTATCTATCTATCTATCTATCTATCTATCTATCTATCTATCTATCTATCTAATCAAATTCTAGCAAATGCTGCAAATGATTAAGAAAAAGAGAGATTTGTGAATATAAACTTGTTTTTTCCCCATGACATCTTTAAATCTCTTCTTCCCGTTTGATACTTCTAATGCTAGAAGCTAGGTTTCTGTACATATCGACAGGTTAAATAAGGAAAACTGTTACCCTCAAAAATTTGCAGCTTGTTGTCACATAGAAACAGCAAGAAGCCTCTGCATTTGATCCACTGGCTTTTCTAAAAGGCACAATTCCTGTATCTAACACGACTAGACAGTGGCAATGTCTTTGTTGCCAGCCAACGCCCACCCTCCCTTTGAATAAACTTACATATTACTTATATAAATTCCACACTCTTCACAGTAGTGCCATTTTTTAACTCAAAGACATCCCCAACATATATTGTTGGTAAGTATTTTCAAGCAGTGCTTAGTGTGAAACATAGTCTGTCTTAAGGTGTTTTTTTTCTTATATGCTTCATAATCTTCATCTTACCTTATATTTTAAAAATCTGATTCCTAAAGAAAATATTTTAAATTTTGCATTATTTCTTTTGTATTACATTATTTCTATAACTATCAACAACGGCATATTTGCAAGGTCTCCCCAAAACACTACAAACACTATGATCTTATACTTTGCAATGACTTCTTGTAATAGTAATAGAAAATTTAAGAATTGACAATGCAGAAATCTTTTCCTGATGCTTTTAAAACAAACAAACACAGCTTATGTGTGGCACTGTATTATAGCATTTCCTGCTCAAATCATAACATGCTCCATTCAGACAAATCAACATGCCCTGCCTTAGCATTAGACAGGTTGTAGAAGCCTAAATGCAGCCATAAACATTAGATGGAGAGCAAGTGCTAAGGATGAAAAGGGCGAGGCGTTTAAAACACACAGCTTGATAAATTTTACTGCGAACATTAGTTAAATGCAAACAAAGTATTATAAGCAATTTTTTAATAAAAAAATCCAAATATCTAACACAGGCACACGTTAAAGTGATAACAGGATCGCTATTACAATTGAGATTCGGCTAACCAGCAGATCTAGCTTGCTTTCAGCAACTTGCAGGCGTTAACAATCCAGATTCTTGCAGATCTACGAAGAAACACATGCCTTACAAAAATCAGAGAAATGGCTCCAGTACATTTCTTACCAGTGCTGTAATATCCTTTGAAAACTGCAGCTGGCAGAAAACAGGAAAACATAGTAAAAGCTGCTTATGTATGTAAAGATAGAATTATGTTGTCATATTGATGCTGAATACACAGCAAGCTAAAAATACAGCTACACCGATTTCTCTGGAAGGTACCAAGGCAGCTAAAGTGCACTGGAGTGCACACAATAACTTCAGCCTTCTTGTGAGCATGTCAGTCTCAGGTTTTTACCTGCTTCTTGCATTTATTCCCTAGCCTTCCAGAAAAAAGAAAATACGCTTGTGCTGTGTTGCTTCAGTGCATCTTTCCTGCTGCAAACGGAGCCCTCTGCTTGTGCCACAAGGCATCCCTTCTCCTAGAGCAACATAACAGTCTTTCATCTCCTCTGAGCTGCTACCATCCTTGCTTCCAGATGACGAAACAAGGGCTTTATTATGCATTTTAAATCTGTGCACCCCTTCCTCTCATACATCTGAACAGAGCCACAAGCCGTCAGCTGACTCTTCCTCTGACATTAGAAGGATGATTTCAGAATAATTTTCATTAAAAAAAAAAAAAAAACATTCTCACCATGTGATCATTTTCATTTTGTTTATCTTTGCTGTTCCTTCCATAACAAATTAGGAACTGGCTGTGCTTAAATTGTAAGGTGTATCTGCATGTATCAGTTATATCAGAAAATATACACTCTGAATTTGTGTATTTCTCAGATTAGGAGAAGAAAACAGGGAAGCAGATACAATGAAAAAATGCATCTGGAAAATTAAGCAATGGTGCATTCTATGGAAACAACATGCTGAGTGACATTTTGAAATATGCCCATACTGCCTCCCTAGCCTAATGTAGGTACAAATATTTATTCTTAAATCTGCACCTTTGCAAGATACTGAAAAGCAGACATAAGAAAATTAGCTTGAGAACATGTTAAGCTGTGGAGCTGATTATAATCATCAATTGCAAACCATTTCCTGGTTCATTTCTTATTAACAAAAAAGGGAAAATATTAAAAAGTACAGAATGTTAAAAATATATAACAAGTTGTCACATTCATCTAGAAGTAAATATTTTGGAAATCAGAGCCTTTTGGAGTGGGTAGCCATAATAACTTTAATTAATAACAATAATAATCATTCATTTTGATTATTTTTCTTAAAAGCTCAAGCATGGTCATTCCTTATAATTTCAAAAGAAAGCACTATGTATAGAAAAATATATAACTCAAAGTAATTTTTTACAATGATATCAAATATGTAAGACTTCCATGTACAGATACAGCCTTTATATGTATATTTACTTTTTACTGAATTTTACTGAATTTACTGAATTAGTTAGACTGGTCCAAACTTAATTACAGTTAGGCCTGCTGAAATCGAGAAGACAAGTTAGTCATGACTGAAGTTCCATCAAAGGGATCCAAGGGCAGTTAACTCAGTTAACTCCAATCCACTTAGCTTTAGCAGTAAAGCACTCTGCCAAAAGGCTTTAAAGCGATATGCCACTTTATAATTTTGAGAGGGTTCAAATATTATACAACATTAAATAAAATCAGAAGCTTCATAAAAGAACTGAAATTTCAGATTGCTATTTTATTTTTTCTATTAATATTAACTTTACCACCTGCTATTACTACTACTAAAACAGCAAAAGCTTTAGCAATTAAGGTAATCCTTTATGGAGAAAATTTGGGCTTTCTTCCAATCCATCCTTGATTCACCTTTGCTACTGTACCTCTAATCGCCCTGTTGCCTCTTAATTAAGCTGTACGTATTAGTTCCTTACCTGAGACATAGAGAAATATACCATTGAAGATAGGCTATCAGAAGGCATGGTCATTAAACATCTCTAGATCAATTAACTATATTCTGTTTCTGAACCTACCAGGCTATGTGCGTGGACAGTGAATTAATATATTATCAAGGTTATGTAGTCTACTTTAGAGTATAAAGAAAACTACACAGCACAAACTGACCAGTAGACTGAACTACAAATTACAATGTTTCCTGTGTCAGGGAGCTATGGAAACCAACTGCCAACCAGCATCCAGTTGGAATAAATACCCAAGAAGAGCCCCATCCAAGTTTAGAAGAAATTCAGTTGAACTGAAAGGCATTCCACAAGATTCATTTCCACGACTTAGCCATGAAAAAAATGATGACTGGAAGATACAGGAATGAGTTTAGTTTGGAATGTCGTGTGGCAGTTAAAAAAAAGCCTGAATTGCAACACTGGTCCAGCAGATCTGAGGACTGAATACATTTTAAAATTTATGGATAGTCTATTGCTTTAAGAAGAAGTAACATAAGATGACAAATGCCTACATCATAGAAGCTGCCATCCCCTTCACTCAACTCAAAAGATGTACAAAGAGGCCCAGTGATGGATGCAAATTAGGGAAGCCTTCCTTGGACTACTGGAACTCACTTAATACAGGTAACTTTAATATGTGATTATTTAACGTGATTAGGATAAGCCTGTGGAAATTTGGAGGTCATAGGTTCTCCACCCACCCCAATATGGAAAGGAGTGCAGAAACTTCACTTACATTTTTTATTTAACTAAAACTCACTGAGTCAACTGAACCTGAGTAAATTACAGTTAATTTTAATTGGGGCTTACTAATGTAGAATAATTTTTCAGAGGTATGTTTGAACTGGAGATTCAAAACGAGCAAACTACAAGTAATAAAGTCGATTTGCTTTATAAATCATAGTGAAAATTAATCAGAAATGATTCTTCCAAGGAGGAAGAAATGGAGCATGCCAAGCCAAGGCCTTCACAGGCTTGTCCTATTAACAGTGAACCTATATGCAAACATGGTAAGTTTGCACAGAAATTTTAATGGACTCCTATGAGTCCTCCCCAAAGCATCCAGGGAAGTAATAACAATGTCACATCTGTGATATATGAATTGGACCCTAGCAAAAACCTAACTTGTTACAAACCAGTGTGTTCAGGACAGTCTGTTTCCATTAACAGAAAACATCACAAATGCTTATCTACAGATGCTTTGGGAAATAAAGTCAGTACCTAATTTTCTAACAAGGTGAGAATCGTAATATGTTTAGAAAGAGACCATCCACTAATTCTAATTTATTTTCTAAAAGTTAAAAATGTTGGTGAATAACACAGAATAATGTGAACAAAACCTTTCCCCTTTTGTCATTTTTATGCAATGGTGTCCAGCCCTGTGAGGCAAGCAAACTTGAAACAAGAATTGCTTTGACTTCTAGAAAAAACCTTTATTACCTATGAAAATAATTATCCTGTATAACTTATGCCTAGTGTAACTAAGGTAGAGTTATTCCAAATATCTTTCTCATACTTATCCCCCTCCCCTGGACTCAATAATATTGTCTGTAAAAGCCCCCCTTAATTATCTGCTTTTCCATGGTCTGTTAGGCAGTCTATCACAAATGGTCTGCATTGTTTGGCACAAAATCCATCATACTTTTCCTACTGTTTTGTTATGATGACCTTTTCTTGATGAGAATCAGAAAAACTGAACTGAGTCATAATTAAAATAATGTCATTTATATTTACATGGA